CCCCCTCCCCCGGGCCCTGCGCCATCACCTCTGTCGTCACCGTCGCCTCTATCATCGCCTCTGTCGTCAGCGTCTAGCATCGCCACGTCCCCGACCTCCGGCCCTGTGTCGCCTCCTGTCCGACTCCGCCACCCGACGCTCTGCTCCCATGTGGGAAACGGCGCGGATCCTCTCTCTGGCGAGGCTCAACTCCTCCTCGGTCACCTTCGCCAGCGCACCGGTGCCTCTGACGAGCTGCTGGTCCACGACTGCTTCGTCCTCCACGGCCTACCAATAATGCACCCATTTCCCGAAGATGTCGGGCCACTCTCCAACACCATCGTCGCACAACGAAGGTCGATCGAGTAGCCTGAGGTTCCAGTGGCACCGCACAAGCTTCTCAGCCCGGGGAACCTCCAACCTGTTGCGAGACTTCGAATGAATGAAGCTCCAACAAGACCAGGCTCTCTCGCACGGTGATGTGGTCGCCCATATACGAAGGATCCTGCCAGCAAACACGGCCGTGTGAGGGAACTTCGCCTTCTTAGAGGACCAAAAACTGGCAGGGTGATCAAAGATATCCACAGCTGGCCGCATGGTGAGCTCATCGAAAGGGGGCTCCCTCGTGTGGAGTTTGGCGACCGCTCGTTGGACCTCCCGGTGCTGCGGCGATCCCTGCGGGTAGCCGAACTGGATTAGAGCCTCGACCAAGGCCTGCTGCACCTCCGCATCGTCACACAGCGTCGCGTTCCGGAACTCTGGATCTAGCAACATGGCTGTTGTGTGGGCTGGGGTCTTGAACATGGTGCGCCGCCTGAGGAACACCTCCACAATAACGTCCTGCTGGTCCCGATCAATGTCACGACATGCGGATAAGCAAGATGCAATCGTCTCCTCGTAACGTCGCAGAATCTTGCTGATCTGGCGTGTGTCGCTGTCCACCAACCTCAGCATGTCCATGATGGGCTCGAGCATCTTGCACAAAGCTCTCAAATCCTCCCACCATAGAGGGGAGCCGATACACGCAGTGACCTCCGCGGCGTCCTTGCGGATCTTGCTGGTCGACCAAACAGTCTCACGCCAGCGATCGTCGCCCACAACCTTGTATCAACTCTGCCCGCAGTTCCACCAGCCTCGTCATCATGATGACATTCGTGCCGAAACGCGTCTCCGCCGGTAGCTGAAGAGTCTTCTACGAGTACGCCTCAAGAACCTCTCTCGCATGTCCATGACGCTTGAAGAACCGTATAACCAGCCTCGCTTGCGCAATGCGGGAAGCCACCCAATCAATCCCGCCGGTGTCCTCGAGAATGAGGTCCCTGATGTGGGCGATGCAAGGAATCCAGAAGATGTGTTTCACGCTCTCATCTTTTTGGAATACCTCCATCGCCGCGACGTTCACCCCGCGGGAGTCCGTCACGAACGTTGTGATGTCGCTCAATTCAATGTCCATGGACTTCATCCTTTTCAACCATGCGTTTGCGAGGGCACTGACGTCCTTTTTGCCGTGCATGACGTCGGTGGCCACATACGCTACCCGGATCTCTGTCCCAACAAGGTAGTTGCACAACGTCTGACCACGAATGTTGGTCCAACCATCGGTCATGATTGTGCAACCGGTCTCTTTCGACGTGTCAAGCACCGACCGAACACACTTCTGGACCTCGCCATCCAGCTCGTCCAAAAGGGTCGTGCGCAGCATGTAGTAGGAGGGAAGTCTAGGCGCGGGCGCCCGTGGAACCCCCGACGGGATTATCATCGTGAACATGCGTTTGAAGCTTTCAAGCTTCGTGCAGTTGAACGACATCCCGCTCTCGACGATGAACCGCATGATTTGCAGATGCCACGCTCGCTCCAAAGGGTCCGAATAATATGACGTGACGGCCTGCTGCCTGTAAGTGCCCCGGGTTCGACCCGTCGTGGCTCTCCCGCCGAGGACCCCGGCATCCAACAACCCGCCAAGACTCACAGGTGCCGCGCTCTGCGCGACTGCAAGGTCGCGAATGCGCTGCAAAGGTTCTAACGATCCGGTTAACACGGGTGGAGGCTGTGGGGCAGACCGACCACCACGCGTCGTTGTCGGAATCAGGGTCGGCGATGAATCGGACACCGGAGCGGAGACCTCCTCGGCAGGCACCCCATGATCCGCCTGTTCCCCAAAACGAGGCACGGAGGCAGATTGTCGAGCATCTGCAGGTGCGTGTGACGGATCCGGGAGGGCGGTTGCGTGAGCGTGGTGGACCACTGGACGTTGCGATGCTCGCGACGGTGGCGGTGGCAGCCAGGGGTGCTCCGAAGAACCGCGGGGCGATGCGCCAGGCGCCACTGCAGTACCACCCCGTGCGGCATCTGACTGTCTACCACTCCTGAACACAGGGGCCAGCACTGCTGAATTGCCGGCACTCCCCCCCCACCTGCGACTCTCAATAAAAGCACGTGTGCTCTCCTCGTCAAATGTCGCGGAGCCCATACTATCCCTCACTGGCGGGGGCTCGTTGGCTGGCGCGGAACGACCAACTTCCACATCGCGAGCACCTCGTGTCCCAGCCAGCGGTGCAGATGGCGGGGCTGTCGGTCGTGTTGCAACTGTTGTTGCAGGACGCGCTACCGTGACTCGAATAGCCGGAGCCCCAAAATTGGGCGATGCGACCGGTCCTGAAGGGGCGGTGGCAGGAATCAGCGGCGGCACTGCGTCCTCGGGGAATCGAAGAGGTGGCCACTGCAAGCTCGGATGGCCTGACAATAAGCTCTGCAACGTTTCTATGGCCGACGCGAACTCCTTCGGACATTTTGTCATGTCCTTCGACCAGATCGCATACCACACAGCAGGAGTGGCTGCCTCACATCGGAACTTCTCGCTCTTCGAGAAGTGTTCCTTGACGGCTTTAGCGCCCCCACAAATCGAACGCCCGCACAACCTGCACAGGCATCGACGACCGCTCTTCCTACCCGCCGTCGTCGACCCATCCAAATAACGCCCTCTGGCTACGAAATGCCACACCGGGTCGTCCCTCTTGCCGTCGACTTTCGGGTCGACCTTGAACGGCGAGTCAAACGTCTTCGTGTTATGACCTTGTCGGGCGGTTGTGAACGAGTCTACCGGATCCTTCCCCCGGTCCTGCGACATGATGAAAGCCGCTAGCCGCGAGAAAAAGACGATGTCAGAACCCTCTGAGAATGTTGCCAACTCGCGACAGAGATCGAAGTCGGCGTCAGAGCGGCAAAGAAATGCTATGAAACAGGAAAAAACGATGAACGCAAAAGTGCAGAACACCTGGACATCAAAGGGAAAACACAAAACGACATGAAACGCAAAAACAAACAACCAAAGAACAACGAAAAAAACTCAGAACTCGGAGGCAAAAAAAAAAAAACGCCGATGTTCTTTGTCCCTTGTAATGATGGAAAAAAAAAAAAAAAAAAAAAAAA